TTGTTCACAATATAACATTTAACTACCTACAATCGAGGTTTCAGTTTATTCAAAAGTCCAATTGACTCCTTTTTTGGATAACAATTATGTTTTTGGCACAAAGGTAGAAGCTAGATCAGGATATTGCCAAAAATACAATTGTTAGTAGGATCCTCCATTGTTAGCTTTGGTATTTTGTTGTGATAAGTTGACAACAAAAACAATAAAGACATGTTTTTGAAGTTAAAGTAAAGTCACACATTGAAGAATTACACAATATGAGGTATAAAGCTGCAGCTCTTTTTTAGTTGTAATTAATTGTGTCCTGTTCTCTTGAATGGAAAAGTTATACTGCCACCTGGTGACAGTAGGCTATTCTTCTAAAAGGAAAACAATGAACACAATTACTTTATGAAGTGCTTTTGTGTTCTTCTTCATTTATCTTTTTTATTCAAAGAGTTAACTTGATAAAGATATTTTCGGATACATTTTCTTGTGATCGTCTACAGGAAGATGCACAGGACCTGGATGCACTTACGCTGGCCAAATCCTACTTTGACCTGAAAGAGTATGACCGAGCTGCTTACTTCCTGAAAGGCTGCTGCAGCCAGAAGGCTTATTTCCTCTATATGTATTCTCGCTATCTGGTAAGATTATCTAGATGTCTGGTACATCCTTCGAGCCTTGATTTTATTTCATGACGTGACTGCTTTCAAGTTGCTTGTAATGTTTGTTGACCATTTTAAAAGTTCCCCTTCATTTTTTCAGTCAGGCGAGAAAAAAAAGGACGATGAGACTGTGGACAGCCTGGGTAAGGATCTGTCTGTTTGGACATTCAAAGAGAACTTAAAGTACTTTAGTTACTCTTTAACACTAACTTTTTTGTGTGTTTTAGGTCCACTGGAGAAAGGTCAGGTGCGCAATGAAGCCCTGCGAGAGCTGAGGGTTGAGCTCAGTAAGAAACACAACGCAGGAGAGTTGGATGGGTTCACCCTGTACCTGTAAGAACCTTTCATGCATACTTTCCTCACAACATGCAGAAAAACACAGTGGATAGCTCATAAACTGCATATGTGTGATTGTGTTTGTGGGAACACAGGTACGGGGTGGTGCTGCGAAAGCTGGACCTGCTGAAGGAGGCGGTGGAGGTGTTTGTTGCGGCTATTCACGTGCTTCCTCTTCACTGGGGAGCCTGGCTGGAGCTCAGTAACCTTGTCACCAACATTGAAATGGTAACTACAACACGTATCGTAATTAGCATTGTGTCATTAACCTGATGGGCCCAGGTCCAGTTACCATATGAAACCAAAGTCAATGCTCACAACACAGCCTCATCACTATTAATTAGGGATGCACGATATTGGTTTTTTGAAACCGATACCGATAACTTCCTGCTTCTCAAGACCGATAATAAAAAAAAATGTACGCCACTAATTATTTTAACGCGATTAACGCATGTGTATTTTTTTTTCCTCGGCCGCCCCGTAGTTTCAGAGCGCATCGAGTTTAAAATACCATCTACAAGCTGATGCTGACAGCCCCGCTCCTGTCGCCCGCTTGTGGCAGACCACACTTCCACGCTCACCGGCAGGCACCGACTGTTATTAGTTATAATGTGTGGCCCGAGCGAGCGAGAGAGAGACCTTACGTGCATTGTTGTTGTTAGCATCTGGTGCTAGCTAGCTGCGCTAACGGATATACGGAGCTGTTTAAATGAAAACAGAGGAGCGACATTTCGCCACAACTGCGCCGAGCACTTGACTTTATGCAGGAAGCCAGACAGTGGGACATTGTACGAAATGTCAGCACGGATAGTGCGCAACATGATTGCAGCGTCCAGGCAGCTCCGGTTCGAGCATATGCCTTGAGTTGCAGTAGCTCCAACGCCCATACCACCGACGACATGTTTGTTTACTGTCCTGGCTTCACGAATTAGGGAGCGCTGGATTTGTGAAAAACTCCCCTCTTCCTAAACCACTAATACCACAGTACTGGCAAAACGGGAGGAGCCGAGTGAAAAACAAGCGTCCCTCATCCCAATCCACCCACACCGCAGTATCTTTTTTCTTTTTTTTTACCCAAAAAATATATTGTATATTATCGGGGCTATTAATACTGGTATCGGGTTTATCGGGATGACGTCATAATTCCTAATATCGGACCGATAATTATCGTGCATCCCTACTATTAATCTATAATTTCTGCCTTAAAAGAAATAGAAAATAACTTTTTGTCATATTGAATCAATGCTAATAAACTTATTAAAGGTTCAATCTGAAGTAAATATTTGGGCTGAATTGATTAAATCTGCATTTGTCTCTTATATCTTCTCCACAGCTGAAGTCTCTGTCCCTGCCAGACTGCTGGATTAAAGACTTCTTCATGGCACACATGTACACAGAGCTGCAGATGATCAAAGAGGCGCTGCAGAAATACCAGAATCTCATCGAGGCCGGCTTTTCTAAGAGCACCTACATCATCTCACAGATTGCCGTCGCCTACCACAACATCAGAGGTTTATTTCTGCTTCTTCATAGAAGAGTTTTGCCTGTCAGAAGAATGTGATGGGGACAGGTTTAGTCTGACAGCACTCTGTCTCTGTTTGTTTCAGATATTGACCAAGCTTTGGCTCTCTTCAACGAGCTAAGGGAGCAGGATCCTTATCGCATCGATAACATGGACACATTCTCCAACCTGCTCTATGTCAAAGTGAGTTGTGATGTCTTATTGATTAGCATAGAACATATGTTCACAGTTAGGTTAGAGGTCTAATATCAGCTAGTAGGGCATTGTACAAGAACAGTTAATGGCCATTCATTATATTCCCTTGATGTTTTTATATGACCTCTGCAAGTCATGTTTACAGAGTAGGATCAAAGAACCATTAAAACATCTAATTGTCGCTTCCACAGAGCATGAAGCCAGAGTTGAGCTACTTGGCTCACAACCTGGTGGAGATCGACAAGTACAGGGTGGAGACATGCTGCGTTATCGGTAAGTGCAGAGCCAATCTGATCACCATTAATACCCAATTTACAAATTGTTCACAATTAGTAATAAAACTATTAGTTGTTGAATATGTGAAAAGCATCTTGCATTGTCATTAATTAATGGCTTGTTACAGCTTCACAGGTGTATTAGCTTGTTTTTTTCTATGCTAACTCCTTGTTAATATATATTTTTAATCTGATCCACAGGAAACTATTATAGCTTACGCTCTCAGCATGAGAAGGCGGCTCTGTACTTCCAGCGGGCCCTCAAACTGAACCCTCGATGCCTCGGGGCCTGGACCCTCATGGGCCATGAGTACATGGAAATGAAAAACACTTCGGCGGCCATCCAGGCCTACAGGTCAGACTGAAGCTGTAGTAGAGCATGAAGACACTTATTTGTGAAGAGATTTCAGTATCTTTATGGATATTTTGTGTTTTAACTGTATTTTTTCTGTCAGGCATGCCATTGAAGTGAACAAGCGGGACTACCGTGCCTGGTACGGTCTGGGTCAGACGTACGAGATCCTCAAGATGCCTTTTTACTGTTTGTACTATTATCGAAAAGCTCACCAGCTCAGGTAAGGATTTGACATAATGCTTTATGTAGATTTAACAAAAAAGGCTAAAAGTGTAAGTAAATGCAATGCTCTTACACCAGTTGCTTGTCTTAATAGGCCAAATGACTCGCGTATGTTGGTCGCACTGGGGGAAAGCTACGAAAAACTGACACAGCAATTGGAAGCAAAGAAGGTACGCACGTTACAACTCTCACCAAATCCCGGTTTGTGTAATAACATCACTAAGCTTTCTGGCTTGTCTTTGACATTTTCTATTTGTTGTCTAGTGTTACTGGAGGGCATACTCTGTTGGCGATGTAGAGAAAATGGCTCTACTCAAGTTGGCAAAGTAAGTGTATCACTGTAGCCTGAGGATATAAAACTGAAGGATCATCTTGTAGACCCAAAACAGTAGTTTATCACATTAACATATGCACAAAAGAATGATTTGATCTACATGGCCTATAAACATGGGATCAATTCAGATTATTCTTTTCCCAGGCTCCATGAACAGCTGAATGAGTCTGATGACGCTGCCCAGTGTTACATGCTTTACATCCAAGACATTTTCTCCTGTGGGGTAAGCATTTTGAAGTATCTGACTACTCAAGTAGTTGTAGATGTTCAGAAACCTATGGGTATTATTGATTTGGGCTTGGCCCCTTTGCTTCAATAAAGGAAACTGTTAGAACAGCAGCATATCATTTTAGTAGTTTGCATAATGCCCTTTCTGTGTCAACAAGACAACTTTCCTCTCTGTGCACAAAGCAATGGTTTGAACTTTAACCTCATCCAAGCCCTTCAGGGATTTGTAACCATTTCTAATAAAATCCTGTCATCACAGGAACAACTGGAGCATGCTGAGGTGAGCACAGCCCTGCGGTACCTGGGTCAGTACTATTTCAAGAACAAGCTCTACGACGAGGCGTCCCTCTGCGCTCAGCGCTGCTGCGACTACAACGATGTGAGTGTGCCTGCACAAAGTGAGCACTGTGTTCCTGTGGTGGACTGTATGTAGTATAAACACACTAACTGTGGTCCCTCTGCTCGCAGGCTCGTGAAGAGGGAAAGGCTCTGCTGAGGCAGATTTCACAGGTCAGAGATCAGATCGAGACGCCATCAGCAGATCTGTTTGCTCCGCTCTCAAACAACAACACTCCCGTCAGGAGGGTGTCTCCGCTGAACCTTATCTCCTTCACACCTTGACACCCCCCATCCATTCACTGGCTTCAAAACGGACAATTTGTATTTCCAACAGCTTTGGGGTTTTACTTGATCAAAAGACATTGTTCGAAGGATTACTTGTCAACACGGACTTGTTAATGACATTAAAATATTGTTTGTACAATTTGCAATCCTGATCATTTTTGTTCAGGGTAAGACAAGTTCTATGCGACAAATGTAAACACAAAGCTCTTTAAAAGAAATGCAGTGTACTTTCAACTTGATGTACATACCTCAGACACAAGGGTTTTCTTTAAATAGATTTTTTTATTACACGATGCCTTTATATAACTCAAGGCTAGTTGAACTGTAAAAACACAAAAAAATTGTAGAGAAGGGTCACCTTGAACTATTTACATATATACACACACACACGTAGCGCAAATGCAGCACACAAACATGTCTTGTTTTGACTTGCAGTCATGCCCATCAACAATGCTGTATATATGTAAATAGTATAAATAAAGCATACCTGCTTGGACTGTTTTTTTGGTAATTTTGATTTCACGTTGTACAGTACATGAAAATAAAATGCCCTTTTCTCAAAAGTATAGAAAGAGCAGAGAAGCCATAGAGTAACCATTAGCCACTGAGCGGTTATACTGCTCACAATCACCTCAATAGTGTACGGCTACCCTATTTCTCATAGCGTAACTGTTAAACATCAGAACTATTTGGACTGCTGCAAAAAGTGAATATATACAAAGAAATATAAAAATACTATAAAGTTACAAGCAGATAAAACTTTGTTTGCATAATATCAAAGAAGACAGGCTGTAAGAAGCTCAGTACTTCCCCCTGAGGCTGCGAGGGGTGGGGGCCGGGCTGCGAGGGGGGGACTGCTGGCGGGACCGCAAGATTCTTGAGTAGGGGGTGGCGTTCGCTTCTTCTGCAAGACGAGCGTTGCATCTACGTGTTAGGGTTTGTGTGGGGAAAATAGACTGGAAAAAGGGACGTTTCTGTGGGGGCCGGTTCTCAGTGTCAATAGGTGCCGTGGTCCCGCAGCCCCTCTTGTTGCAGGAACCTGGTGTGGGGTGGGCAGCAGAGAGGGGGGTGGCCAGCTGCTTCTGGGCCAGGGTCTCTGCTTTCCGCCTCAGATCAGCCTTTACAAGCATCAGGCCGTTCTGGAGCTCCAAAAGGATCTGGTCCTAAGAAGAAGTGAGTGAACAGGGTTAGACAAGACCACAGAGGGGAAAGTGAGGGTGAGGGGAGGGGGAGGTGGAGGGAGAGAAAAGTGAGCCAAAACCAAACTCTGGAACATGCTTTTGCACAGTAATCACCTGGTGCAGAGGTTAGAAACCTAGATTTAGTTTAAAAGCCAGCTGTGCAGCAGGATTGTTAATGAAGAGAGCAGAGGGAGAGAAAAATAACGTTTTTGAAATTCAGAAATACAAATCCAGCTTTCAGATTCAAATCAAAGAGATATCATCAACATCAGACTCTGCGCTAACTAAAAATGTACGTACAGGGAAAACATTATGTTGGTTTACGGTTTGTCAGATAGGAGTAAAGCTCTTCTTTCACAAAAAAAAGAAAAAAGAACACAAGTGAAATAATTTGATTAATTCTTTACGGTTACTTAAAACTACTAAAAAACTAAAACTACTAAAATTACTAAAACTATCAACCAAATATTGTGAACTTTTTCTACATAATGACATTTATTGTTTTGTGCATAATTTACAGAAGGCCACTCAACACTTTTCAAATGATAAACATTAGAGTGAATACAATAAAATGTTTTAAATCACATCATACGATCCATGTCTGTACCTGTTTGGCCAGCGTCTCGTCTGCAGCGGCCAGCGCCTGCCGCAGCTTCTCCCCCCCCGTGTTTCGGCAGCAGGCTCGTTCTCCAGACTGCAGGTCGGCCCCGAGTCGCTGCAGATCCAGGCGCAGCTGCCGCAGGTTCTGTGAGAATAAAAGTCAGAATTTGAGTCTTTGAGGATAAATAGTCTCACATGCAGCAAAATCATAATGCATTTCATGTTAAAGAGTTAACTGACCCGCTGCCCGTCCTCCAGCTTGCGGTCAGCGGCGAGGGTCCCAGTTGAGCCAGGGGCTTCCAGCTGCGTCTTCAGCTTTGTGAGCTCTGCACAGGACAGCAGAACAAGAGTTACACACCATTATGAACAAGACCCTGACATCAGCACGTCGTCAGAGGGCAGTGTTTCAGTCACCTTGTGTCTTTGCGAGCAGCTCAGCGCGACACTGGTCCAGCTCCACTTGCAGCCGACCACTTTCTGTTTTATTGATGCGCTCAGAACGCCGAAGTAGGCCACCGCTGCATGCTATGGAGTCCTCACCAGGCAGCGACGGGGGGGGGCGCTTCGCCTGCCTGGGTTTTATCAAGAGCAGCAGACAAACATTCGATCACCTGATCACGCTCCTAAATGAAAAGAAAAAAATGAGGAATATTTTTGCAGAGGAACAGCAACATGACTTCCAATCTATTCACCCTAAGACAATTTCTTTACAGCTCATGTGTGTATTGAAACAATGCTACAGGGACAGACACTGTTGAAGTGATGCAAACTTGAGAAGGATGATTTAGCTCTCACATTCAGCTCCTTGCTGTAGAATATCTTCAAATGTTTTTGCAAGGTGGATATCTTGTCTTCGTATCTCTCTTCAGTTAGAGCTCTCTCTGCTTCCAAGTTCTCGCTGTAGGGCAAGAAATCCAAACTTATTGTCTACCGTGGTTAAACATGCATGCATTTCCTCAGCATTTTAATATTTCAGCCTTCTTTTGGAGGCAATGTCTTTGATAATATCTTGGAATGGAATTCATTTTTGATGTTCTTAAATTATCCCACAAAACAATTTCTAGCAATTTCAGTTACAATGTGTATTTCACACTTAAAGGCAGACACATACCTGTAGCCAGCTTCCATCTCAGAGATGACCTCCATCACCTCAGAGACCACCTGCTCTCTCACATTCGCCTCAAGAACCTCTTTCTCTTCCCGCTGGCGCTGCACCTCTCTCTTCAGGACATCGATGGCCTGCAGCATGGACTAAATAAAGCACAGTCAGCTGTTAGAAACACTGTTATTGAGACATTTTAAATGCTGGTTTGAAGGTTTTAGTTGATCTCAAAAGACCTCATCTTGGTGTTCATCTCAATATGCAAAACATGTTGGTTGTATAGTTTAATAATTAGATGTTGAAAATGAGGGCTAAGGATGTTACCTCAGTATTTAACATGGAGATATCTCCATCTTCGACATCACTCTCCTCCTCCTCGTCCTCCATCACCGAACTCTCGTTTCCACCTGCAGCCGGCTCACGCAGTAAGGACAGGATGTAGGCCACCCTGGTCTTTGTGGACGGCCCGTGCACCAGCTGAAATGATATGATGACGTACTGTTTATTTTTCTTTCGTGCTATTGTGACATGCAAAACTAAATCCGTCTCGAAAATTCACAGACGTTAAGATGTTAAGTAAAGTTTTTACTTGAGAGGCTAGAGCTGAGAATTTGAGGGCCTGGAGGGTCTCGTCATAGATGGAGGCACACGGGTTGATGTTGACCACCATGCTGGAGGTTCCTCGGCCACAGAAGAAACCCTGCAGTACCCGGGTCAGTTTACTGTCCCTGAAGGGCACCACTTGAGCGGGTCGCGATCTGTGGAAACGCAGGAACGTTTTTAAATTATGGCTCTTACTCAAAAAGCTCATTTCAATATCTCATGATTAGAAAACAACATCAATGCATGTGAAGCACGTCTATTTCAAGGGTCCACTTACTGGATGAGGATTTGTATGTATATTTTTTTTTATTTGCTACAGCACATCAACTGAGTGATTAACTTTCTTTCCAAGTTATGGTTAAACACGTACTTGTTGTTCTGGTTGTGCCTCAGAGCAGCGATGCAGCGTCCCAGTGTTAGAAGGGAGGCGTTGATGTTGTTGGCCTCCTTCATCCTCTCGCCGTTCCGCTGCTCTTTACAGCGCTCAGACCCAGCTAGATCACACACACTCAGTCTAAAAAAAAAAATGCAAGAAACAGCAGAGTGTTATTGCATTTCCAAAAACAATATAACAAAATCAACCAAAGCTGAAACTAAGAGGGAGTATCTCAACTTACTCGCTGATGTGCATGGACTTGGCTGAATCTGCTTCTGGGTTGACGTGCAGGACTCGGATGGAGAAAATGCTGTGGCTGCATGATGAATGGTGATCAATGTATTATTATCATCATCATCATCATCAAGAGAGTAAAAGTGTGTCAAACACATATGTGACCTGCTCTATCGAAATCAGTCGCATTGACCCGAAGACACATTTTGAGTTGTATACACTGTTGGAAAGAGGAGATTCCTAGCGTTCTAATGATATCAGGATTGTTGTTGTTCTCCAAATATTAAGCGAAACATGTCACATTATATAATGACTATCACCGAGTCATCACTTTGAGAAAAAGGCCTTCAAAGTTTCCTCCTCTCTGGAATCCATCGATCTGATTGATTATTAGCAAATCATCAAAATACTACGGAGGGAAGATAATTTCGTTTGGATTACTGGTTGGGGGAAGCTCGCGAGTGTGTGTGTGTGTGTGTGTGTATACGTGTTTGTGTATTTTTACGTTTGTGTGTATTGTGTTTGTTTCCCGGGGAAAACCCTCACGAGAAACACCGGCTGTTGTTATGCCTGCTGTGACGTCAAGTTACTCCGTTCTCCGCTTGTAATTATACCGAAGCTTCAAAGTTGTATTTATCATCTGAATTCGCCGAAACAAGTTTAATATTCTGAAAGCCAAGACTTTGTTTAATTTAAATCAGATGAAAACAAACTGTAACGGACCCTGTCGTGTTATCTATGATTACTATACGCCTTACATTCATAATGTCAGCCGGAGGGGCGGCGTGTGGAACAGCAGAGTGGCGAGTGAGAGCTGTCATCTTCCCTTTACAAGCTTCAAACATGTATTTATCGTGTGATTTTGGAAATAAAAGTTTCATATTATGAAAGCCAAGACTTTGTTTATTTAAAATCAAACAAAACACCCGAACCCCGAAAAACTATTTTTTTTACACAAATCCACGTTTATTTTTAAATGAGCCGTTGCGACTTCCGACTGATTTCGATATAGAGCGGGTCACAAATGTCAAATTAAATCAAAAATAATGCAAAAGTTTGATCTGCTCCTACCTACGGCTGGAGTTTGTGTTGAGGTGAGTGCTGGCGAAGCTCTGGTTGCGACGCCCAGCCTTCAGAATCCTCCAAGCTTCGTCAGCGCTGCGGATCTGGATCCAGACGAGGTCTGATACAACAAAAAGAGGCAAAAAACATGAGGCGACACCAGAAGCAGCAGCACCGTCAGCAACAAAACATGTTTTATGTGCTTGTGTAGACATTTTAGAGTATCCATGAAAAAGCACACATACAAAGTAGCAAAGACTTTCATGTTCTATTAACATTTTACCTTTCACATAGGGGTTGCCCTGCTTGTCGTCACCAAGCCGCAGAGTGACCCTTTTCCTGGGCTGCAGGGAGGGAGAGGCATCGAGCAAATCATACAGGAACTCATTGTAGATCTCGAAGAAGGACACCCAGATAGAAAACTGCACCCCTTCCTCCAGATCATCCCCTCCGCTGTGTGAAAGGCTGCCGGGCTCCAGACACACACCGTCTGTGTCTGCAGAGAGAGACATGGTTATCAATGGATGTGTTTTGAAAGGCTTTTTACAATTGCAGTTATGATTTAAATGAATCAGAGTCAGGATTTAAATGAGTAATCATAAAGTGAACTGGATGCATGCTACAATATCATCTGGTATGCAATTGCAAACTAGAAAGCTTGTGGGCTTTTCTTATAAACTCTGTAATTAGTCAACAATGTCATATGCAGACTTCTTTCACTATACTGTATAACATCAGCCAACATTTAAAAAATGTTTTCAGTAAAAGAAAATGGACTAGAATTAGCTCAGAAGCATATTTAAATGTGTGTGCCAATCTTTGAAAATGTGCCAAATATGTCTACAGTTGGCATTGCTGTCCTCACCTTCAAGCTGAGTGGCGATGTTACTTGTAGAGGAGAGTCCTCCAATGCCGCTGTCCCAGACTGTCGTGTTTCCACCTCGACGAAAAGGCAGATTGTCATCCTGTCGCAAACAAGAGGAGGACATCAGCTCAAATCTATGTGCAACAATGCAGAAATTGAAACTGGGGCACATAAGCCTTAAGGCACAGAATAACATTTTGAATTCCATATACTCCTTTTACCTCTTTGAGCAGAGAGTTTCTGCGGAGTTCCTCCATCCTGATCTCTCCGGAGCTCAGATGCCTCACATCCTGATACATGATAGGCTTCATGTCCATGGCGCCGTACAGGCGGCCCTGCAGCTTGCTGAACAGAGACGACAGGGCCCGTGGCAGGAGGCCCGCCTCTGGACCGCTGCCTGCGAGACAGAGGTAGAGACTTAAATGACCAGAGTTGAATTCTATACCAGCATCAACAATAATTGTACAGAGCTGCAAACATTAACACCACATCAAACCTTGGCTTTATAAAGATGTGTTTAAGAAAATAAAAAAATCTTACCTTGAATTGTGTATGTTTTTCCAGAATTGGTGACACCATAAGTGTAGAGGAGTCGGTTTTCTCCTTGAAGGACGTCTTTCACCATCTTCTTCATCGAGCACTCGTAAAACTGTTGCTGTGTGGTCTCCGGCCCCATAATCTATAAAAGATGGGTGATAGGAAAACGTCAGTATGTGTCCTTTTCTAAATATTTGTTTTTGTTCCAGATCCTTCTTTTGCTGGCATTGCTTGCTAATGATGTACACTCATTAGCCCAATGCGAATCACCAATAATGTATAAACAGGTGATAAGCAACATGTTTATTTGACACTGTGCACATGTATAACCCCCCTCCTACCTTTGAGAAGCTGAACTTGTGCATGCTCTGGGTGATGCCCCTCTCTGCAGCCCTCATGCTGTGAGATTCTTTTGGAGCTTTAAGCAGCACATTCTCTTCATCTTGGACAGCCACACAACCCTAAAAGAAGAGCAAACCATTAGCACAGGAGAAGTCAAATCAAAATAAATGTGGATTATCTACAAACACAATCCTACCTGTTCTTCTCCCCTTTCACTCTCCGCCTCAGTTAGTGGCCGGATACGCAGAAAAACCTCGACCCTCCCATCAGAGCTGCCTGGTCTCGCCGCAGCAGGTTTTACTGCTTTCTAGAGACAAAAATAAAAAACATCTTAAATGTTTTATTGAAGACGTAGGAGAACCAAATTCATTAAGGAAAGACAAGTCAATTAAAAATATATGTGATACAAAACATTTATGGATGGCTTTGAAAATGCTGTAGGTTAAATTCATTCGTTTACATTGCAACACTAAAATATTAAACTCCTAGCAACTCTCACCTGTTCTATAATGGATGGCCGGGGGTCCAGGCCGGGGGAAATGACTGACAACTCAGGCAGACCAGGTCTGGACGGTCCTCCATGCTCTGCTGCTGTAGACTCAAACACAGCCATTTCCTCGTCTTCATCAGAGCGGAATCCACATGGGGAGGACAAAGAGAACGCCATGCTTACCCTGTTACAAGAAGACAAATCTTAGTGAGTATGTGGTTATTGCAAATATAAAGTAATCTCACAATCAAATCTGGCTGTGTACCAGAATCTCAAGTAAAAGCCACTTTTTAGTGACACGTTGCATATATTATGGGGATATATCATGATACAATATAAAGAGTTAAGCGACAACCTGATTTTAGAGCTCAATAACACCCGTCCTAACTATTCTGACACAAAAAAACGAACCTACACTTATGGCGCATTTCCACTGCAACGGGGTAGCCCCGTTTAAGCGTCCTCGCTCTGGCCTCGGGCTGCCTCGCTGGCCGTCCGAGGCCGTGGCGCATTTCCATTACAGTTTAGGACCTGGGGTAGCAACGCAGTGTAGGCGGGGCGATCGGCTTTGTTTTTGTTCACATTTCGAGTTGTTCCGTCGAGCTCCCGCTGGATTTGATCATCCCCAATGAGATGAAGGAACGTCGTCACCTCCTCGGTCGACCACGGTGTGCTTTTCTTATTAGACGTAGCCATTTTTGTAGCTCATCCGTTTACAAAATGCTGTTTATAAACAGCTAGGGCTCGCGCGCGATCTTGTGACGATTCTCTCTGACCAATCAGCAGTCGAGAGTGTTGACGTCACTAGTTCAGCCCTGGCCCTGGTCTGATAGAACCACGATTTTATGGGGCCGGAAAAGTACCCGCTAGCCGGTACTAGGCTATATGGAAACGCCACCAAAGTCCATCACAGAAGACTAAGCAGAAACTCACTGTTATGAGAGAATGGGTGTGTCAGTCGAGGTGATTAAAACACATAGAAACTGCTTTAAGCCTACTTTGCCCTTCAAAACCAAATAGTCCGACTTAGACTAGTCAGACAGGAAAATGATCTCATGCTATCACCTGTCCAGACAAGTACTGGTGCAGAACAGACTGTATTTCTGCAAAAATAATGACATAATTAAAACATGTTTTAACGGTTTTGACTTCTCTGCATTTTAACTAGGACTTATTATGCCAAAAGCACATCACATTTTAAAATAACACAAGACGTTATGTTTAAAATAATGGCATTAATAGTTTTTACAAATGATGTCAGACATGTCAACTTTTAAGCATACAAATAAATATTCCAACTAGGAGTAACGCTTACTTTCCCCCCAGGAAAGAATATGCTAAATTGTTAGGACAGTTGGTTTAAGTAAGGATATTTCACGGGTTAGGATTACTTTATAAAGACAGTTAAAGCAGACTTGTAATCAAAAGTATAAGTGTGTGAGTAGTACATTATTTACTTAACGTAAGTTAACGTTTAAGCGTGCACGAGAAGCTGTGACCCTGTTGGGACATTTTGAAATCATGTCGTCACTCCCACCAAACTGACACAATAATGCAAATGTCGCTCTCGTCTTAACTAACTGTTATCTGGTTAAACACGTGTATATTAGCTCGGTTAACGTTTATTATCACAGCTGTATCGTGTAAACTAACAGATGTGTTGTTGTTGTTGTTAGCACCACGCGATTCGTTTCACTTACTTTGAATGTCGAAAGTGCGATGAGCGCCTGGATCCCTGTAACGTTAGCGAGATGTTCTCGACAAAACTCAAGTACTAAAAAAACAGCGGAGATACTGTATTTAATGTGTATCAAACTTCCCTGAAACTTAAACTATCCTATTGCTTCTTCCCTACCTCGCAGCACTCTGGCGTCTGAAGCTCAGCTGAGTTATAATAATAACCGATTGCGTTTGGTTTTTGAACAATGCGCTTCCCCCGCAGAACGTGTCACCGATTGGCCAAAACTAGTGACGTAAAACTCGAGATCTACCTTCTGATTGGCTAGCAAGCATTCACATGGTGGGCTTTTTAAACTGTACCTCCTCAAACAAACGACGCCTTGTATGGGTTCCTATCACGAGTTGAAAATAAATGTGGCAAGAGCTTTAAATCCACATGTAAAGCTTTAACCCTGTAAGGCACCCGGTTGTTCACTTTAAGCTATCCTAAAAAAGTCAGTAAATGTTAGTTTAATAACCCTCTAAAGCCCAAAAATAGAAACACATTAGAATTAATTTTTTTGACCATTCATATGTTGTTGTAGGGAGCCTCTGGAGCAGAAATGAAAGAGTTTTCACATGTTGTACGTGTTGGTACGTTTTTAGCGAAATGTTGTAATATTGCAACGTTGGGCTTAGGTGGGAGCAGAATTCCTGTATATCTACTCACATTGTCTGAATAAATATATTGAACAACTACGGGTTGATTTGCAGGATTGATTGCTCACTTAGCCCTATATCAGTATATAGCATGACTATTAATCACACATCAGTCATAATTTTTATGAATAGTCATTTATTAAATATGAATATGGTAGTCCAAAAAACAGTTTCTGTCATCAGAAAAGCACAGACGGACGTCACACTTGGTGCATTGGGCGTTTGTGTAGGGGAGAGTGGGGTAAGTTGAGCCATTTTTTAGTTATGCTGTCCTCTAAGCAAGGAGAAATGACACATAGTAAAAATGAAAACACACACCTATAATTCAGGATGTCTCCTATCAATGGCAATTATAAGAATTCATATTTGATCAAGGGCAGTGAAAATATTACTTCTAAAAAAAAAAGTGGTCTTGTGGCTCAACTTGCCCCGGGTTAGGGGTAAGTTGATCCAGGTCAGGGGGTAAATTGAACCACTGTTCAAACCTGGGCATACCTGTTCAAACCTGGGCATACCTACAACAAATCTTAAAGGTAACTACAAACAATAAATTACAAACCAAATACAAGTTTAGTTTTTCAAATATTTGTAGTATAAATTTCGATTGAATTGATTGATTTTTTTTTAACATGTTAAAAGGAAAAGTAATCATACAAATGGTGATACAATTTCATACATCTGATCTTACCAATCAAAAACAGGGTAAATTCAACTTTAAATGTAGCCTACAATGAGCTCTTATTATCAACTTGGTCTACTTTCATTCATTTATCCATTGAAAAACTGGCTCAACTTACCCCATGGTTCACTTTACCCCATAGCCACCATTTTAGAAGAAATAGCCTATAGCCATAGCCTGCATATTATTACCATAGTGTTTGTAAAAGTATTACACTCCTAGAATTAATGTGTCATTTTTTTTAACACACTGCTGTGTCAAAGGCAACTCAACACATTCAGTGTCATTTCTGAACTATTTTACACACACACGTGTGTCGATAGAAACAAAAAAATGCACATAGTCAAGACATTAGACATCCACTGTCCTGTCCAATCACGGTTGAGTTATTTCAAATGTATCGTTTTTCAACTGTTCAACTGTCCATCAAATGTCCCAACTGCCATTTCACATCTGGCTGCTGTGGAGGATGGATGTCAGAGGAGGAGAGTCTAACTCTAGGTAAGTTGTACAGAAACAAAACGTTTTTAACAAAGTGAGCAGATATATTGTCATAATGTGAGCAAGCTAGGGGTCTAAATACATATTTTTAAACTTAAATAAATATGTTTTGCCAATGTTGAACAGCTAACTATTGTTTGAGTTTAGCTGCCTGGATGACAATTATTTTTTTCTTTAGGCCGTTCTTCTTCTTCTTTTTTTATTATATTTATTTTATCTTAACTTAATGTAGCTTACACTCTTTTCTGTGACCATCGATTCTTCAATCGGCATTATATTGATAGCATTAGCAGCTATATGTTTAATGCTATCTAGCTACTTTGGCTAGGTTTCATTGTTCGGCCAGATGTGGCGAGAAAGTGCGAGTGAGAAGACCGACAGAGGCTGCGTTGATATACAGTCTCTAACAGTGCAAATACGTAACTTACTCGCACTAAAGTTATTTATTAGTAGTAAGTGTACACTACAGTTTACCTGTTTCTGACTAAAACATCATCCACTACTCTATACTTGCAAATATTATATTGTGTAGAAGGGAGATTTCATATCTGCCTCTCTTGTCGCTAACAGTGTTGCCAACTCCATAGTAAGGAAAGTAGCTATTGGCTGTCCGAAAAGTCGCCAGAAGTCGCTAAATGACGTCATCGCCTAATTTGCATATCATGTAATGGCGGCTGTAGGCAAACAACGTTCCCAACCCTTCAAGGATCAAAACTTGAAACCACCGGAGTTAAATCCAGACGACAGTAGATCAGAAATGTCTTTGCCTTTTGAGTATATTTTGGGGTTTTAACATGACAGTTTGGCATAGAAATCCCCCTTACAATAAAGGCAGTATGCCCGTGTGTCATCTCCAATAAATGGCTTCAACCATCCTTTATACTCAGGGTTTGATTCCCACTCCTTTCTGTATTTTTGAGAATACAATTTAGACTGTGCCATGATGTTTAACTTGTCACAGAGAGGCACACACACAGTGGACGAGGTGATTGAGTGACTGAGGCTGTGTGAGGCAAAGCAAAGGCAGTTATTTATTATAGTGTGAAAGTGAGTGAAGAAACATTTACATTCAACATTTAAATCCCGCTCAAAACCAGGACGGCTTGGCAGTTGGCGCATGCGCAATTCATTTGCAGTCTCGACTCGGGGGAGTGTGGTTGTCTCCTCTCTGCTCTGACTGCAGCAGCAGCTCTGCTGCGGCCAGGCAACTGACAGTCTGAGCGCCTGTGAGTACTATGGGAGGGCGGCGGGGCTCACGGCAGCACCCGCGGCTCGTTAACTGCAGAACAATGTGAGTCTCCAAACACCAGAAAAGTCGCTAATAACACCATTATAAATCGCTAGATTAGTCGTTAGTCGCTTTTGACACAAATAAGTCGCCGGAGGGTTTGGAAATCCGCCAAATTTAACGAGAAAATCGCCAAGTTGGCAACACTGGTCGCTAAGGCAACTTGTGTATGTGAGACGCAGCGTCACGCACGGTACGTCAGGCCCAGAGCCAGATACTAAGAGTTACGACACCATGGTTCAACAGAGCAACAGGTTTGTCAACAATAAAAATTAAAATGACGAGGCCACTTTGCCAGCGGGAGGTGATCCAGCGACGAGATAATAATTTAAAAAAAAGAGAAACTGAAAAAAGCAATTCATATTAGGCGCATTCACACCGCAGTACTTTTCCCACAAAGGTTCATGAGAACTTAGTACAGATCGCGTTCACACCGGAATAAGTCCCTGGGGGAGGATTAGGCAAATGAAGCCGCTGACGTCACTTCTTCTTCTTCTGCTTTGGGTTTACTGGCAGGCCGCAAACCACTTCACGGTGTATACTGAGTAGCATGAAGCTGCAGCGTCGGAGACAGCAGTTACAGGACTGCACTTGTAGAACCGCACATACAGGTCCGACGGAGTACGTCACGGCGGCACGTGACGGAGCACGTTCACATGAACGCCTGAAGCCCCTCAATGCAGTGCGCAATCTAACCCTTCCCTTCCCCCCATCCTAACCCTAACCACTCCCTACCTTTTTACCTAATCCTAATCTTCCTTCCTCCCTCCCAAACCTCAATGTTTCAATGTTGATATGACGTAATTTAAATGAAATACAGGGTTTTAATTTAAAGCAGTTTTATTCTGAAAAACCCGGAAGTTCACACTAACTATTAACTTAACACTTTTATTCTGAAGATTCTTAATTTCCGGTTAGCATTAGCATGTGGCTAACGTTTTGAAAACCGTGAATTGAAGGTGAAATGACATGTGATGTTGTACACTAAACACACTGGGATTAACACTCATTTATTGACGCTGGAATAACATTTGATCAGAATTATTTATATATATATTAATAATATAAGATATAATATGTTACTTTATATATACAGTCTATGGTAAGTACACAACACAATACGCAAAACAACTAGGGTCGTGGGAGTGCGGTCCTGAGAGTGCAGCCTCCGACGTTGCAGCTTCATACTATTGCGTATACTGCCGCCCAAAGTCCCCGGCCGGAAGTCCCCGGAGTTGGGGACTGGCTTAAGTAGAAGCTGCTGGGACTCCCAGCAGCTTCTACTGAAGCCTTCCGAGTAAATCGCCAGAACGCCGACACCTCCTCATCTCCACCGCTCCCATGTTTATTTTGTGTTGCCATAAATTAGTCTCTCTGCGTTTCTGCGCTGGGCTAATGCTAATAATGCTAATGCGAGGATAATAAAATGGCGGCTTCACAAAACTTTTTGGGAGTTTTACGGGGCGTGGTTTGCAATCCGCCCAGTCAATCAGAAATATAGCTCTTTTCTCACAAGAGAGGAGAAGCCCCAAACTGCAGTGCGCAGTACCTCAAGATGGGCGGGAGCTCAACATGGGCGGAGCCTCAACGCCCCTCCTTCTCAACCTTTGAGGCACGTGACGGGACGGCCCCTCCTTCTCAACCTTTGAGGCACGTGACGGGACGGCCCCTCCTTCTCAACCTTTGAGGCACGTGACGAGCTTCACAGATGACGCGTTGCATCCTGTTTCCCGGGTAGCAGTTCTCTTCCCTCCCTTCAATCTAACCCTTCCCCCCATCCTAACCCTAACCACTCCCTACCTTTTTACCTAATCCTAATCTTCCTTCCTCCCTCCCAAACCTAAACCCCAAAACCTCTCCTACTGTAAGAAATTAAAATCAATGTTGATATGACGTAATTTAAATTAAATACAGGGTTTTAATTTAAAGCAGTTTTATTCTGAAAAAACGGAAGTTCACACTAACTATTAATTTAACACTTTTATTCTGAAAATCCGTCATTTCCGGTTAGCATTAGCATGTGGCTAACGTTTTGAAAACCGTGAATTGAAGGTGAAATCAAATGACATGTGATGTTGCACACTAAACACACTGGGATTAACACTCATTTATTGACGCTGAAATAACGTTTATCAGGGAATGTTTAAATAACCACAGACTGGGTAAGTACACAACACGGGAGTCGGGACGTCACGTGCTTCAAAGGTTGAGAAGGAGGGGCGTTGAGGCTCCGCCCATGTTGAGCTCCCGCTAGGGCTGAACGATATACCGTGTCATGGCGATAACCGCGGTATGCGCATGCGCGGTATTCACACCGCAGGGACGTGCGGTTTTATTCATTTTTTTTTTTAAATGCTAACGCACTTTAGCACAGAATTCAAAAATAAAGATACCCTTATTACTTATCGAAACTGCACATACAATATATCCGATTAAAGCTGAGACTCCACAGATTATTTAAGTATAGTATCTAATAGGGGTGTAACGGTTCACAAACATTTCGGTTCGGTACGTACCTCGGTTTTTTGGTCTCGGTTCGGTACGTTTTCGGTACAGCAGAATTTTTTTTTCACAAAACAAAACATATATATATATTTTCTTTATTATTATTAAACTGTGAATAATGTATTCACTCAAATAAATACAAAATATAATAAAATAAACATTAAGGTGCAGCATTTCGAGGAACTGAAATAATCTGTATTTGAACTTTACTGTAGGCTACTAGTACTCACAAAACATAAACTATTAGTTTTGGGTTTTTAATTATTATTAAACTGTGAATATTCACTTAAATAAATACAAAATATAATAAAATAAAAATTAAGGTGCAGCTTTTCGATGAACTGAAATAATCTGTATTTGAACTGAACTGTACTAGTTCCTAAGCAGCCAGTTTGACATTAGGACTTGCTTGTCATTGTATTTTCATGTTTTTTTTAAAGAAAAATGAACTTGTCCACATTGCTTGCCGAAAGGGCAGATCTGCTGGCACTAACAATGTCTCCTGCTGTGGAGAACACCCTCTCTCTAGGGACAGAGGTAGCAGGTACAGCCAGGTAGCGCTTTGCTAACATGGCAACATAAGGATATTTGGCGTTTGTAATAGCTTTGGCTCGGTCTGAACTCTCTGCGAGTGGTGGAGGCTTAAATGCTAGTGGGAGTTGGGTTTGCACTTCAGTCTTTTTTCTTTTGGTACCGGTGATATTCACGTTCGGGTGATGCCTTTTCAAGAGTGTGCAAGTTTGATGTATTGCCAGCCGCGGAACCAATGTTAGTTGAACAATGCCGACAAACAGCTTTGGTTCGGTCCACCTGTCTTTGTCCTTCATCCTTGTACGTAACTGCGAAACCAAAATGTTCCCAAACCGGAGACTTCAATGATGCTGGAGGATTTTCGAGCTCAACTTTATCTGCGTTCGCCATTAATTTTCGACAGTTCCTCAAATTACTGACTACATTTGAACGCATCCCTCTGACCAGCTCTCATAGTATGCCTCTCATCCAATGAAATGACTTGCTCGCTCTATGACGCGTTGAACCCAATGTGAGAAAATTACTCTGAATGCTGCGACGCAGCACCTGAGATTACTTCCAAAAAATTGTTCACGTTCTCAATTTTTTACGTTTAACGTTATATTCGTTCGGTACACTTCGGTACACACCTGTACCGAACCGAAGGGCCCGTACCGAATAATTTCGGTACGGGTAC